TAGGTTCAAAACTATTTTGTCTGCTCCCATGCTCCATTTCGTCACGTTTCCATAAACTTCATCCGATTGATCTAAAAGTTATACCAGAGGAACTCAAGGCAACTTCTTTTTAAATACTTTTCTTATCGATTTATAGAGAACATATGCGCACATTTTTTCGAGCGAAAAGCAATCTGACAATTGGGGACCTTCCCTCGTGAGAGGAAGAGAAAAAGGTTTTCGAAAGCTTAGCGATATTTTTGTCAATATCGATTAACAAATATTTGTCTTTTCTCACTGAAAGATTACAGAGAACTGAGAATGATCTTATTTTATTTTTAGAGAACAGTTCACCCCGTCGTGTTCTACGTTTAACTCAAAAACTAAATATTTTTCTAAAATAAACAGAGAAAACTCTGGATACTTCCATTGTAACGTGTGCTTGATTATGCCAATTTTTTCCATTTTAGATCATTGTTCTACTACTTCTACTACTCTCTAAAACTAGTTTCAAGGATAATAGTTTGTTTTCCGCGCATATTTATTGCAATCGGTATTTATGTCCGGTATAAATATTTTAAACCATATGTAAAACCATTCTATAATCAGTTAATAACAAAATTTCCATTTATTAAACCGTATGGCGATTTTCTTAGTAAAAAAATGGGCTAAGCATATCAGAAACTAGACAAACAATTTGGTGAAAAGATTTGGCATTTGTATCACAATCATGTCCAAGACCACAAGCAAACAAACAAAAAACTCAAACAATAAATATCTCTAGTAGTTTTAAATGAAAAATGTACTATTACTAGTCTCTTTTATATAGAATTCTAATGGTGTCAGTAATGATGATTATCACCGAAGTAAATTATATCCAAATTTAGACAAAACTTCAACAATAACTTATCAGCCCCACTGGCGCTGTCTTCAATCGATTAAAATAAAGAAATAATTATGAAAAATAAACTTATGATTCTCATTGCCCTTCGGATGTTGTCTCATTAAGAGTCAGTAATACAAATCTTTATATTTTCTTTTTTGATGTTTTCTTTTGTTTCTTTAGAGAAATAAATTGCTTTAATTGTCAATACTTTAGAAGACGTGTTAGTCTCTGGATTAGCGACATATCTTCTACATATTCTGTTAAAGATTATCTGATTTAACCACACATGTCGTTAATAATTGTCAAGGTAAAACGATCCACATTAAAGCAGAAAACAAACGTCTTTATGTTAAACAAATACGTGCTTCACCAGTGACATCTATCTGCTGACGTTTGAAAACGAAACAACTGTGATACTTCATTCAAACATTATTATTATCTGCGAAAATACACAATATGTTTCACATAGTTAGAGCTCATTCCATATGGCGCTAAGAAAGTCGACTTTTATTTTCACTTCATATGTAGCTGAAAGACAGAAAAATATTTGAAAATTAACTGATTAAGCAGCAAGTGAGAATAATTTTGACTACTAAAAACAGAGATAATTAATTAGCATAATGATGACGAGATTACTCCTATGTGGTGATATATTATTTAGTCTTTTCTGTTTTGTTTTTATTATGTACAAACATTTTTAACAGGAAAATAACAGTAAACAACAATTAACAATTAATTTGTTCCCACTCTTGATGGGAAACATTTGTTCCACCAACGTGTTGGATCAGCGATATGAATCACTGTTTCATTTTCTAGATCACTACTATCATTTGTTCGCCTATTGTAGGCTTCTTTTCGTGTTGTTTCATCTCCATCTCCATCTCCATCTCCATCATCATTCATATATTCACCAAATGTTTTACTCACATATGTACCCAAACTATCTGGTAAACCGGGTATATGTTCGAAAAAGAAAGCATTAATTTGAGCTCCCAAAATTAAAATAACAGCAAAATAATAAAAAAATAATAGAAGAATAACAGCAAAACCAATTGAACCAGCATAATTTGTCATTAATTTACTGACATAAAGAGGAAATAAAATTAAAAATATTTCCAAAGCAATAGCAGCCACCAAAGAACCACACCTAAAACATTCATATTTTATAAGTTTATTATCCAAATATATTATTAAAAACAGTTAAAATATAAAATGATTGTTTATACAGGGTGGGCCAAAACAAAAACCTACCCTCTCTGTATTTATTGCCTTTCTTGTGTACAAATATAATTGAACTTTTTACCATTAGTTTAGTCGAGTAGAACAAAGATTTCTGGACGAAAGGAGATGTCTGCGAGCTCTCTGAGAATTTTTCTCATGAATTAGCATTCAATTCACCACCAAAATCGAGACAATTAACGGGAAAACAAGAAAAATACATTCTTAGAGCCTTCCGTAAATTGAATGCTGTTTCATGAGAAAAATTCTTAGAGTGCTCGGAGATGTCTCATTTTATCCAGAAATCTTTGCTCTACTCGACTAAACTAATAGTTAAAAGTTCAATTATATTTATACACAAGAAAGCCAATAAATATAGGGAGGGATAAGTTTTTTTTTGATCCAGCCTGTAAGTCTAAACAAAAAATTTGAAATTCTATTACTTACCATGTTTGTTTTAATGTCATTTTTTTATTTGGAACAATAAAATAGATTATTTCAAAGAGAATAAATCCGACCACTACACTTGCAATTAATCCGGCTAAATATGTTCCAAAACGACCTCCACCATTTGTAATAAGTCCAAGTAAAAATGATGGTGCTGATGACGCAGCTATCATAATTGGTATTAAAATAATAAATAAAAATAACATTCCCAAAGCAAGTAAATTTTGTTTTAAAAATGTACGTTCTTGTAAACGATATGTAATTGTCATACAACGATCAATGGCTAAAAATAGTCTTGAACTACCAAATATAGCAAAAATAATACCCACTACTAAGATAAAACCAGCATCTCGCACCAATTGTTTAAATGCCAAATCTATAATTTGTCCTAATGCTTCTTTTGTCGTATTATCCGGAAATGCATCTATAATTTTTTTTTTAATTGTATCTTGAAAACCAACATTATTACCTAAATAAAATAGTTCGATTAGAAATGTATATGACAGATGAATTGTGTTTAAAAATCAATGTTTTCCAAGATTTCTTCTAAAAAGTTGAAATTAACTTATGTTTTCTTTAATAAATAACTCTCATTTTAATCTGTCGGGACATTTTGATGCAAAAAAATTGATTTGTTTTTAGAGTAAAATACCGTTTTCACACAAACGATACTTATTTACGAGATGAAATTTTTACCATCTGATAAGCTTAAAAAGATACAAAAATCGTTGGTTGATCTCTCATAGTTACCGAGAAGTCGAAGAAGCAAAATCAAAAATCTGTCGGAACATTTAGTAGAAAAATAGCTATCTTTTCCTCTTCGTTTTGGTTTTTTATTTGATCCGAAAGATCGTATGAAAATTACTTTTTTTACTAAAAGATTTCTCGCCCTTTCATCTATCAAATAGAAAAAGAAAATTTAGATTTGCTTTCAAATTGGCTTTAACTTGTCGGAATATAAAATGGTCAAAGTGTATGACTATGTAGTTTTTTCAGGATTTTAATGGGTATATCGAAGCCAAAGCTCCAATCCGACAAGACGAGGAAAATCTTAGCTACGAAATGGTTATAAAGAATTATTTTGATCCGATTAAAGTTGTGAACAGAAAAGTAATTCTTGTAAGCAGGTAGCACTCCAATCAACTGATTTTGATCGTTCTTGCTTTTATACTTGGAAATGGCAGCACATAAAAATTTGAAATTTTTACTGGAAGTACAACAGAAACTATGGAGTATGTAAACAAAATTTTTTTCAAATTCATTCAGTAGAAGTTGAGATATAACTGTTTTCATTTCTGAAATGCAACGGTACAACAGCAACGCAATTTTATAAACGAAACATGTACGTTATACATATAATTATTTCGTTAATTAAACTTACCAGCAACAATGGCCAATATTCCAAATAATGTTACAGCAATGGGTAATAAAGCAATTAATAGATTATAAGCTAACATGGCTGAAAAATCCAATGACCAATCATTCATAAATTTACTAAAAAATCGTCGATATGGTTTTGTTTGTCGTTTAGCCACTTGAAACAATTGTGTATCGGTCACCGTTGATCTTATGTTGTCCATTTTTTGTTGATAAATAGTATGGAATAACTACCTAATGCGTAGTGTTTGTACTCTATGCAACTCAAATTATAAGAAATTATAAATGGTTGACTATTTCTTTTTTTTTGTTTTTCATTTTATAACTATACCACTTTTTTATTCGTCTTTCCTTCTTTCTTTTACTTTTTTTTTCTCATCGCACGTCCGTACAAGCGGAGTGTACTTAAGTTCATACAGAATATATTATATGTGTAAGAGAGAAAGAGGGAGAGAGAGAATACGATATCTATTTATATGTGTGACGTAAAGAAAGAAGAGAATACAGTGGAAGCAAAAGATTCATATATTTAATTTTTATTTTATTCATAATGAATCGATAAGTCAGTCATACATAGCTGAACTCTTTCTCATCGTGTATCATAGGTCACGTGAAAAGCATCTTGCTCATTCTTGCTGTATTCTTCATCTATACGAAATAACAACAATAGAAAGATAAAACAAAGTATAATACCACTGTAAAGACTTAGTCATAGGAATATGATCTTTACAGTGGCATTATACTTTATTAAACTTCTTAATCTAACCACTTCTACTCAATCATTACTAAAGATAAAACAATTTAAAACTCATATCAATATACTATTATTGTATGTAAACGATCATTTATAAGAGTCGAGTTCAAATTATTATCGTCTCGTTGGTTTTTAACCAATGATAGATCAAAACATGTAGTTTTCGCAATTCAGATACCTAAACCGAGATACATCTTTTCATAAGCAAAAGAAATTTCAAAATTCTCTTCGAAAATAATAATTAGTGGACTTTAAAAATAACTTCAAACATTTAAAGTTCTTGAAATATTTTTTTTGAGGGGGGGGCGGGGGGCGGATCAAATCTCGCGTATACGTTCATGATTGGCAACGGAGTTTTTCAAAACATATGACAATGTTTTGTTTTAGTTTTATTATAAGACAAATCAACGCTATGATCGCTAGGATATTTGTCCGTCTCGGCAAGGCACCAGTGATACCAAACTTTTGTGTTGTTTGGCATCGATGCGTTAGGATATTTTGCGTTGGCGCAATGCAAAATATCAACTATCTTCTCGGCACCGGTGCGCATTCATATCATGCGATATATCTTATTATATTTTCAGATTCACATTTGACAACATCGATCTGCACTCGTCATACAAAGTAATTTTTTCGGCATCCTTGCGCATCGATGCTATATTGTTGGGATCGATGTGCATCGAGCACCATTCTCTGTTTTTTTAACTCGTTGCATTTTATGGCTTGAAGTATTTAAAATAAAATTAATTACCTGACCACATTTCAGCAATTTAGATTCGATCTCTTGTGGCTTAATAAGACTTCAAAAAAAGTAATCATTGTCATACTAAATGTCCTTAGTAGAGGATGTAGCCTTTATAGCGCCATCTCTCTCGTTGCTTGTAATTGATCGCGATATAATCGAATTTTCGATCGAGAAGATGACTCATCTTCTTACTCACCTTAGATGAGTAAAGTCAAAGTCGAGGAAAAAAACACATGGCCTTTGCTTTATTATTCTAAGTGTGATAGCCTCAATAATTTATCTATTAGATATCGAGATCTCTTTACATTACAGTTAACTGTAAAGACATCTCGATCAAAAAAATATACATGAAGATTGATTTTTCTCGTCCTAACTAATGTGAGTTTCTGCAGTGTAATACATTCGCGACCATTAGTGACTATAACAGAATATGTAGAAGATATGTCGCTAATCCAGAGACTAACACGTCTTCTAAAGTATTGACAATTAAAGCAATTTATTGCTCTAAAGAAACAAAAGAAAACATCAAAAAAGAAAATATAAAAGATTTGTATTACTGACTCTTAATGAGACAACATTCGGAGGACAATGAGAATCATAAGTTTGTTTTTCATAATTATTTCTTTATTTCAATCGACTGAAGACGTGATGAAATGGAGCATGGGAGCAGACAAAATAGTTTTGAACCTG